TTTGCAGTCCAATAAGTACCTGCAAAAATATTTAATCCAAAACTATAAACAAATCCTAGTGAGTTCCCCAAAATATCACATACAACACAAGATAATAATCAACTAAGGGATATCAGCATCCCTGAGACTATTAGCAGTCTTGAATGTCACCTACAACAGAACAATATAAATAACTATGGATTATCAGCAACCCTGAGGAGTATCAGCAGTACGAGTAGGCTAAAAGCACGCCTTATGGATTAACAGCACACCTCACGGGTTATCAACAACCCTTGGGACTGTTAACAGTCCCATGGACTCACAACAGTCTAGGAATTTTGAGCAACTCAGTTCACACATAACAAAAATCAACAAATAAGTCCCAACTAGTCAGCATGTATATACTACCACATAAGCATATAAAGTGAGAAGACTCACCTCATAGATAGCAAGTAAACACAACAGCTCTCACACGGTGCAGACTGGTACTGCGAGACACCTAACAACAACAAGGAAGTACCCTCTCACTCTACACCCTAAAAACCTTAAAACGACCAAAAGTTCACCATGGTAAAAGTCAAAGGTCAAGTTCAAGGTCAACAGTCAAAGTCAACATCAGCTAATCTTCACGTCATGTCCACCCATTGGCCACGTCGTGACAACATTAAGAAAACACAGTCATGAAGTTGTTCGTTGCCATATCATTATAATCAAATCGTCACGTCGTGGGAACCGCTCTTGACAGCTTAATGCTTTAAGCTCTTAATTCTTCAAGCCAAGCACTCAACTTGCTAGAAATCTTTCTCTATCCCAAAGCACCATAAAACTAATTTTTTTTTAGAAATGCATGTCCAATGCATGTCTTGAACACAAGCTAGGTCAAAATGACCAAAATAAGATCTTAACTTCAAGCATGGTTCCCAAAAGACCAAGAAAGATCAGATCCATAGATCAAAATACTTTTGTGATAAGGAGGAATGAAAAAGTTGCAAATTTGATCACATCCAACAAAAAAATCTTCATTTAATAGACCAAAACAAGCTTAGACTCTAGATCAAACAACTTGTAAGCATAAAGATGGAAACTTAAATCATACCCAAGGTCTAAAAGACAGATAGAAGTTGAGATCTTATGCAAAGCTCCAAAACTCCATCTTGAAAGAACTTACTGCCAAGGTACGCCAAAAATGGATGAGAAAGGGTAGGGAGGATCAAAGTGGTGAAATGGAGACTAGGGTTTATCTCAATAGGCTTTAGATGTGATGGACGATGCCTCAAAAACACAGAACCACCGTTTAAATACATAAAAAAAATCCTAAATTTTGTAGTCTTGGGATGCCTAGTGCTTAACTTTTGATAGCTTATTTTTCACCTTGTAACCGACTCGTCACGTTGTGAGGATTTGCTCCTTACCTCGTGACAACTGGTTTTCACCTAAATCCACTCCAACTTCAAACAATTATAACTTCGTTTCAACTCCGTTTTTTATGATCTTTATATGCACGGAAAGATTTTGACGATCCTCACACCCCTATCTAATTACTTTATGCTTAATACATGTCGAACTAAAAATTATAATCCATGCAAAAATCCTGATATACAATCTTTCCCATTTTACCTTTTTGCTTTGAAACACAATTCGAGGGCTTTAATCGTTTAACCCAACATTATCATCATCCGATAAAGTCAAAAATCTATTCCCTTAAAGCTCAAGACATTTACTTGATCCATTTACGAACCGCTATCCCGATAATAGAAACATTTGAAAACTAGGTGTTACATTACATAACGAAACTAGTGATGAAATGTATGTTTTTAACCAAAATAGTAGTGTTTCTTTTCATTTACCTATTTATTGTTTTTTTAATAACTGTGTTTTTTTTATTTCAGATTTTTATTTTAATTATCCGTTTTTAATATACAAGTCATTTTGAACATCAAATTTTAGCCATCATAAATTAATACTACTATTACACATATAATATACTTTAAGATGAAAAAGCTCAAACATTACAAGTAATTGAAAAAACTCCAATATTGTTTGTCACAAAAATAAATAAATCATAACTAGCTTGAACTTGAACTAATAGCAAATATTTACCTAAAAAAATATAAACAAAAACAAAACAAAAATAGCTACAACAGTGAATCATAAAAAAAATATTATCTTCCAACACTTCATTTAACTCAACTTTATTGTTTATATTCACGTCATTGGTTATAAGAACATTTTAATCATGTTTCTAATAATAATTAATCTACAAAAATTAAAAACAAAATAAAATAAAATAGATTAAAAATGGTCTTAACAAGCTGTGATAATAAGAATTCATATACAAAAATTGATCAAGAAGGAAAAAACCGGTCTTTATGTTTCTATTGCAACATAATCATAACTATAAATGAAACTTAAACACATATCATCTTAAGAAGAAATAAAATAGCCTAACTAACATAGAAATGCAAAGATAAGGTTCAGTTGAAACATAATTATTAATGAAACTCAAACACAAATAAATAAATTAAACACCAAATTATGCCCAAACACATAACAGTTGAAGACTTCGACTGTAAATTGTGTGCATATGAGGAAAAAAGACCATTAAAAATGCATTAATAAAACGGACTTCAAAATATTAATCGATTGGAAAGGTGGCAGGTGGCAGGTGGCAGGGGACCGGTGAGGGAGGCGGCAGATGACCGGCGATGGATGAGATGAGACGGATCGGAGGTGAGCGACAGTAATATTAAATTTTAAACAATAATATTAAATTTTTAATTTGAATACTATTTTGGTAAATACTAAACAACCTCATTTTGGTAAATAGTTTTTTACACAACCCCACTTGATTCAATAACTCATGTTATTTGAACAATTGATTCGTGTCTATGATTATTATTTTTGTAAATTCTGAACAATCATTAGAGTTTATAACTTGATTGATTAGATATGATTATTTTTAAAAAAAATTAAATAGATCAACACTGCTCAATAATTTATTTTGATTTAACAGTCTATGAAGAAAGAAAATAAGACAGATAAATCAACCCATGCCTACTAAAAAAATAGGTATAACAACGTGTCAACATAAGTAGGACAAAGAGATGGGCCCCATGCCCACTTGCAATGTTTAATGGTGTGGAAAAGGTAATGCTATACGGGCTACCACGTCAGCTTACTTGGCGCGAACCTGAAGTTACTCTATTTTATTGGGCCTCTGACGAAGTACTCACTAAAGAAACATCTCTTCCTACCTTGGAATTCGAAAATCCTAATTAAAAACTATATTCTAATTTTTTTTAAGGAAAAAAACAGAATTTGCATTGTAATGTATAACTAAATATAAAAATTCAATAAAAAATATCTATAATATTTAATTATTATTATTTCTTTTTTAGACTTAAACTTTCTGCTTAATTTTCGAATTATTTACATAGATGTAGCGGGTAAATGAGCAACAAGTTGTACCGTAACCCCTTTGAAGATGACAAAACTAACACTTTTAAAAACATTTGTAGATCTTTGAGATATAACATTACAATGTATGATCTGTTGGACTCTATTGAGTAGCTACACAGCTTCTGGTGCAAGGAAACCGAAAGTATCAAATGCAAAAAAAGAATATATTTGATATTATTTACTTTTTCTCATAATATATGTCAATAAAATAAATAAACTTATATAATACCCGGTTGGTAAATTAAAATAATATAAATAATAATAACATAGTCTTTAATCATAAATTTATATACATCTATTTGTATACAATATTATATGTTCTATTGATAAATCTTATATCCTACACATAGGAAATACAAAGATTATTAAGTGAACAGTTATCAAATTACTTAATTAAAAAAAATAATGTTCAAATTATGTTTTAAACACATATTGGATAAAACTGACATTTTGTAAAAGGTTTAGGAAGAATTAATTAATAATAATATACCTCTAATTTTTATTTGCAAATTTCTTCTTTTCTAGTTTCTAATACTTCTTTGCAATTAAAAATTTATCATAAAATTAGAAGGTAAAAGATAGGTAATTACACGGCTTAATTAAAAGATATATATGAAGAAGTAAATTAAGAAGTTGTAAACTGAAGATATGATGGGGATGAGCAAAAAAACAAGATAATTAGAAATACAATGCGACAAATGTCTATAAAATTATTATCTAGTATGACTAATATGAACATGGATATATATATATATATATATATATATATATATATATATATATATATATATATATATATATATATATATATATATATAACTCAACTTAATTTTGCAATTTAAATCCCGAATAGAACGCAAAAATTGAAAATCATAAAAATTTCCACTTGTCTAAAACCCATAAATTACTTTGCAAGATTAATAATTTTGTTCCTTATTTGTTGCAGAGGGATCTGGAATCTCAATTTTTTTTTGGAACAACAGATATCATTAAGAACTAGCAAGACGTTAGAAAAAATTACAATTTACAAGTCAAACTAGGAGAACAACACCACATATCACAATTCAAAGAATTAAATCTAGGGCTATGTTTGAACCATTTAAACGATAAAAGTTGGATATCATCTACCATAGTCAAGGAAGAACATCTAGCTTTCTTAAAGACAAGAGAGTTCCTTGATTACAAATGGTTTAAATGATAGAATAAAGATAAAACTTCAAAAATGGTTCCTGTGGTTTTTAAAAATATCAAGTTTAGTCCATAAGTTCAAAAAACCTCACAGATGGTCCCTGTGGTTTCAAAACTTTTAACAAATGGTCATTCCGGCTCACTCCGTTAGCATTTCACCGTTAACTCATTTTTTAATAAAATATTGTAGGGGTAATTTCGTCATTTCAGTTGTAACATTCTCTCTTTAATATGAAATGATTACTTGCTTGCACATCAGTACCCGTCCCTCTCCCAAGAGGATAACCAGTTACAGGTTTAGTCATCAGGTTCATTCCCATCGTAGAAGCAAGAACAGAAATTAGGATTTAGGGTTTTAAGCTACATAAATTGCAATGGTGCTATCAATATGGTGTTTTCAAGAAAAATTTGTAACCGTGGAGGACTTAGGAAAAAGATACGGTACAATACTACAACAAAACTTGTTTTTTCTTGGTCTATTGTGTTGACGTAAGGAGATCATTGATTTTACTCTTTTTTGTGTTTACAGAAGGTTATGACAACTATTTCACGTTGAAGATACACTACAGTGGTGTCTTCACCAAAGCACCTGGAAGGAAATACGTTGATGGTGTTGTAGCATATGTAGATGATGTTGACACTGATTTATTTTCAGTTCATGAGCTTGACGACATGGTTCGAGAACTAGGGTACAAAACTGAGTAATCCCTTTACTACCATTTATGTATCCCTGAATACCCTTTGGACTATGGCTTAATGCCTTTAGGTAATGATCAAGATGTACTTAAAATGGTATCATATGTCCCTAAACACAGACTTATTAGGGTGTATATTGAAACTGGTCAGACAAGGGTAGCTACTTATTACAACTCTCCTTCTAAAGTTGTTATTGAAGAGTTGGAGCCTGATAGTGTGTCACCTGAAATGAATAGAAAGAAACCTTGTAGGAGAGAAGCAGGATCATGTAGTAGAAAGCTTGATCTAAACAAGTCTATGAACCTTGATTATGAGCAGTCACAAGTGTTAGATTTTGATGAAGGCCATGATTACTCAAAGAGTATTGTACCATTTATAACGTCACAAGGTAGACAAAGTCATGTCATTCAAAAGGAAGTGGTGAATCATGAAATTGAAACTCAAGAAGAAGTGATCACTAGTGCAGTTGAAACTGAAGAACCATTGGGAACTTACCATGTACAGGAACCAAGCTGCCAAGCTGATGATGGAGCTAATACTACAACCGTTGATGATTATGAACCATTTATAGAGGATTACTCACTTTATGCTGATTATGATACTGAGTTTAATGTTGAAACTTCATTTGAAAAACAACCAGAAGTGGATTATCTAGAGGGTATGAGTGATGATAGTGGAGAAGCTTTCTACTCTGAGAGTGGCCATGCTTCTAAGGATAGTGGAGATGATTCTGATGACAATGAATGCAATGTGGATGAGTCTAACATACAATTTGATGTAGATGTAGACATGAGTGAATTCCATAATGTTGTTAATGTAGATGAACATGGAATCTTGAACAATCATTCAAAAGATGAAGGGATTGACATGGTTGATGTGGAAGTTATTGTCGCTGATGATTATCAATTTGCAAGATTTCATGAAGATGATAGGAAGAGACTGCTAAAAGAGTTGAGTAAGTTAAGTACATGCTCACATGGAGAGGTTCATGTTAAACCATTTCAGATTGGCCATGTCTTCAAAACCAAGCTTGATGTTAAAAACTACATGAACTCACATGCTGTAGCAACAAGGAGGTCTTTATACCTAGCCAAAAATGACAAAATCCAGATTAGGGTGAAATGTAAAGGTGTTGTAAGTAAGCCTTCTACAGGAGTTGATTGTGGTGGGCCCTCAACTAGAAGTAGGGAAAAGTGCAAGGGTAAAGATGTAATTGCCAATAAAGGTACATGTCCATGGGCAGTCCAAATATCGAGGGCTAATGAAAATCAGGATTGGTTGGTGAAAATAGTACAGGATGAGCATAAATGTTTGCAAACAAGGGCGGTTAAAGCTTGCACTTCCAGATACGTAGCAAACTTAATTGTTCAACAAATACAGAGTAACCCTAAAATTCCAGTGAAAGCTTTACATGAAGAGTTGTGCAAGAAACTGGAGGTAGGAATGTCATTGCAAAAGGTTGCTAGGGCAAAGTCAATGGCTGAGCGTATCATTAGTGGGGACTACCAAGTACAGTATGGATTTTTGAGGGATTATGTGTTGGAGCTACTCAACACTAATCCTGGTACAACAGTTCGGATTGATGTGTATCCAGAAACCTCCATGTCTATTACCACAATACCTTTTAGAAGAATATATGTATGTTTAGGTGCATTGAAGTTAGGATTCAAATATGGTTTAAGAGATTTTCTAGGTCTGGATGGTACTTTCATGACGGGCCCTTACCCTGGGCAAGTGTTAATTGCTGTAGGGTTGGACTCAAACAATGGCATATACCCTGTAGCATATGCAGTGGTAGAGACAGAATCAATAAGTAGTTAGATTTGGTTTTTGGAACTGTTAGGAGAAGATCTGGATCTGGGACCAAATTCCAACCTTACCTTCATTTCAGATAGACAAAAGGTGTGTATCAGCTAACTTTTTTTATTACCTTTTCTAAATACATTTGGTTAACTGATGTTGCATACATTAAATTTTGTTTAGGGAATAATACCAGCAATGGAGAAGGTATTCCCTAGTGCAGAACACAGGTTCTGTTTGAGGCATATCCAGGAAAACATGAAGAAACAGTGGAAAGGAAAAGACTTAAGTGACCCGCTTTGGGAGTGTGGTAGAGCAACAACAGTCAATCATTTTAACAGAGCAATGGATGAGTTGAAGAAGATCAATGCAAAGGCTTATGCTTGGGTGTCTAAGATCCCAACAAACACTTGGGCTAAATCTCACTTTAGTGGTAAGTTTCTAGAATTTTATTGAGAAATGTTAATCTTCCCTGTTGTGTGTTTACTATATGTGTAATTGTCTTCTCTTAATATCTATTATCCAGGAAGGGCACATACTAATTGTTTGTTGAATAACCTTTGTGAGGTATTCAATTCTAAGCTAGATGAAGGTAGGGATAAACCTATTATTACTTGCTTAGAGTATATTAGAGAGTATCTCATGAAGAGGTTATGTATGGTGCAGAAGGAAATAGATAAGTGTGAAGGACTTCTAACCCCTACTACAACTACACTGTTTGAAAAGATTAAGACTAATGCATCAAAGTATGTGGCTAAATACAATGGGGCAGGAAAGTACCAAGTGGCAAGCACATGGCAAGACCAATATGTGGTAGACTTGAATGATCAAAGTTGCAGCTGTAGGTTTTGGGAGATTAGGTTTCCCATGTAGACATGTTGTTTGTACTATATGGGACAAAATTGAAAATGGTGAAAATGCCCCACATGTTGATGAATGGGTCCATCCTTGCTATAGGTTATCAACATGGAAAGCCATGTATTTCAACAAAATTGATCCATTGAATGGACGTACAATGTGGCCTAAAAGTGACTGCCCATTCACTTTACTTCCACCAAAACATAAGACACAGGTTTGTATTTAAAGTACACCAAATATATAGTATACATGTGAACATGGAATGAATTCAATTTTAACTATAGTATATCAACATGTGTAGGTTGGGAGGCCTAAGAAGAAGAGAAGGAGGGGTGTTGATGAGCCAAACAGCCAAGCTGGAAGATTGAGCAGGAAATATTTGGCAGTCGCTTGTTCAAAGTGTCATAACAAATGGCACAATTCTAGAACATGTAAAGGGCAGGGAGGTAGTGGTGAAGTTGGAGGGGGCTAAAAATTAGTTTTAGTGGTTATTAGGATGTTGGTGTTGTAGGTATTTAGAAACTTAAGTCATGTGTACTTGTTTGAAGATGTGTTAAGAACTTGAAAACTTTGCATGTAATGCTTGTGTTGTAGGTCTTTTGAAAAATTTGCATCATGGTTGTGTTAAGAACTTTATAACTTTGAATGTAATGGTGTGCTTGCACTTTTTGGTAATGAATTAATATGTTTAGTGTACTACCCTTCACAGATCAATTAATAACATTGTACATTTCAATTGCAAATGAAAACCATCTTCAAGATGCATTTACAATACACTTAACAATTGCATTTCAAAAAATTCAAGAAATTGAACGATGAACTATAACAAACAACATTCCATTACCACTGCATTACACATTAATCCGATACATAAACCAAATACAACAATACCAATTCCAAAACCACCTACATAAACTGAAAGCAAAAAAAAATCCCTGTTCGATTAAAAAAAAAAAAACCCTGCAATGGTTACAAACCAAAAACCAAAACTCCATTACCATCCAAACCTTCACATGATACTTAGAGATTAAAATAATACCAAAAAAAAACCCATGAACAAAACAACATCAGTTGGTAGTTCCACAATTGTGCAGTTACAATGGCAACCCTCTCTTCCAATCGATTCTTTGATCTTATCAAACCTGGAATCACCACCAATACCCTAGCACACATAGGAGGATCAGACCATCGAATGAAACCACATCTTCTACAATTCCAAAATTGTCTTCCAGGGTTATGATCCGTCCATGAAGTGATATTCGTTGCTTCATTCGCACACCTGCAAGTCACCATCTTTGAATCAGAAGCGATTTGATGTCGTGAAGGGTGCAACGGTCGGTCGAGCAACAGTGGAAAGGAGGAGAGGAGAGATGAGGATTGATAAAGCTAAAGGGGAAACCAAAAATCGAACATGCAATTTCTTTTAAAGAGAGAAGGTTACAACTGAAATGACGAAATCTCGCCTGCAATATTTTATTAAAAAATGAGTTAACGGTGAAATGCAAACGGAGTGAGCCGGAAGGACCATTTGTTAAAAGTTTGAAACCACAGGGACCATCTGTGAGGTTTTTTAAACTTAGGAACTAAACTTGATATTTTTAGAAACCACATAGACCATTTTTGAAGTTTTATCTAAAATAAATGAGCTAAAGCCTGAGTTTCATTAAAACTCATTGCATGCCCATGAATATTCTAATTCTTTAATTTTTGTAATAATTAGGTATTTCTAAAAAGTGCATATAAGGTAAACCAGCTAAAGTTTTTGTCACCACCTTCAAGGATAATTCATGATTTCCTTAGGTTTTAATTAGAAATCTCGTAACTTAATTTAGAATCTAAAATTTAAATTTTAAATTTAATACATATCATGATTTATTTAAAATTTTAAAATATATATATATATATATATATATATATATATATATATATATATAAAAGAGTGTTACATGTCAACATAAAAATAAAAGATAAATTTTGAACTAATACTCAAAAAAAAAACATGTTACACAAGTTATTTTTATTTATTAGGTTTTATATATATATATATATATATATATATATATATATATATATATATATATATATATATATATAAAAGTTAAGATATTATATTATTTAACTATTAATGAGGACCGGTCCATTGATTTTTAATGCCTGGGGCGAGATTCTAAACTAATGCCTTTATTTATTTAAAAAAAATAGTAAAAATGAAATAAATTTTACAATCAAACCAAAACAAGGTTATACAAACAAAAGTATACATAAAATTCATCTAAAACGATGCCTCCTTGCATTTTTTGAAGCAAAAACATCTATTATTTTATCATAATCAAGACTTCGTAGGAATTGATTTTCAATACTTAAAATTGCTAATCCATTTAATCTTTCTTGAGTCATGGTACTTCGAAGATATGACTTCAATAACTTCAATTTCGAAAAACTTCTTTCCGCGGAAGCAACCGTGACTGGTACCGTCAACAAAATCTTATATGCCACCAACACATTGAGAAACATGTCCATCTCCTTTGCAACCTCCATAATTTGAATAGCTGTCCAAGGAAGTTCACCTTTGTAGCTTCATCCCGCAACATTTACTGCAAAACTTGTAACTCAATAAATAAATCTTTTCCATCAATATCAAATTCCTCACCATTTATTAAACTAGTTTCAAGTTTCTTACAACGTTTTTTAATTCATCATCAAGTAAAGACTTTAACTTTGAACCATCAAACAAAAATCCAAAAATGGATTCAAAATGTTGCATTTGCTCAAATCTACTTCTCAATTGAGTTAGAGCCATATCTACTATAACAATAAAATAATCAGTTCTAAATTTTTCTTAAGATGATTGTTTTCTCTTTCGGTATTTGGAACTTCATCAAATTGTTTTTTCTACTATAAACACGTTTGATAGGAAATTTTGGTTCAACTCTAATATTTTTTGCTATGTTTTTAGCCTTATTAATAGCAGAGTCAAACTCATTTTCCCTATATTTTTCAAAATAATTAACTAATCCTTCTAAATTTTTTATTGCAACATCAAGAATCATATCTTTGGATTGTAATTTTTACTTACCAAATTAATTCTAAATAAAATTTCATGCCATATCACTAAACTTAAAATAAATTCAAAATTAGAAAATTCACCATCTACTAATAACTTCGCATCTCTACAAACCTTACCATCATCATTCACTTGAGCTAATTTTGTTAATGCTTCTTTTATTTGAAAAAGTTGAGTTTTTATTGCTTTAACACTTTCAATGTGACTTTCCCAACGAGTAGTAGACAATGATTTTAGGGCCAACTCATCTACATGGTCAAGTAAAACACTCCATCTATGTGTGGAGCTAGAAAAAACATTATATATTTTTTGACAAGTACCAAAAAATGTTTTAGCTTTACGACAAGAGTTTGCTATATCACACAAAACTAAATTTAAACTATGACATCCACAAGACATATAAAAAGCTCTTGAGTTTATATCAAGCAATCTTTTTTGTACACCTTGATGCTTACCTTTCATATTTGCTCCATTATCATATCCTTGTCCTCGAATACAATTAATATACAAGTCTAACATACACGTTTTGAAATCGTGTTTTGTAATGAATAAAATTGTGAAATATTATGTAAAATTGAGTGTTGAGTTCTAACAGATGGTTTTTAGTAGATATAAAGTAAAACTATGTTTAGAATCACTCAGAAAATATTGGAAGTCTTATTCCAATTAAAAGCCAAATAGTGAAATTTAGCGAAAATATAAAATTTTAAATAAGTAAGATTTTATTATTTGATGTTGTAGAGAATCTCGTTAGAAACTTGTAGGCGAAAACCTCGTCAAAATCCGAGTTATAACGAAGAAGTTATGACCAACCGAAGATCCACAACAAAACCGGCACGATACCAAATGACGTAAAAAGTGAGTTTTTGATAAACTCCTTTTTAGCCTTAGTAATCTAAATGAAAATCGTAGTATTCATTAAACTGAGAAATTCGATAAAAAGAACGCCAAAATCTGACTTCGTATGACGAAGTTATGATTTTTCGAAGTTTCAACTTAGCAGTAGACAGCTAAAAACTCGAATTTTAGATCGAGCGATATTTTACCGATACATCCTAAACGAGAATCGAAGGTCTCGTCATATGTAGTACAACGGTAAAAATTCTTACGAAAACGGATGTCGGATGAAGAAGTTATGAATTTTTAACGGATTTTCCTGTCCCGGTCTGTTAAAAATAATAATACTAAAAATAAATTCAAAATTAGCCGACGAAGTCTAAACGAAAGTTGTAGAACATAATTTTAGCTACGCGTGCATATAAAGAACATCAAAACGGAGTTCGTATGAGAAAGTTATGGAATTCAGAAGTTCAGGGCCCGAAAATCAAAAATTTTTGCAAGAATAGTACCGGCCACGTCACCTCGCACGAAGCAGGTGCGTCATCGGAGACGTGGCCCAAACCGAGCTACTTCGCTGCTTGCTTCCGGAGACCGACGCGTGTTCCATTTCGATTCGCCGAGGCCGAGGTCCAGCAGGAGCGAGACACGTCTCGCCCACCAGCCTCGTATCCGAACCTCGCATGCGCGCTAGCTGGTTCGAACCTCGCATCTGAGCCTCCCCTTCTCGCCACCTGCCCCTCGCTACTGCTGCCACCGAGCCCTTCGCTGCTTAGCCAACTCCGAACCTCGGCCCTATATAAAGGGGGATGCGAGATCTTCCGACTAACTTTGGAAATTTGCCAATTTTAGCCCCTCTTTCCATATTTTCTTCATTTTGACTTTCCCCGAAGCCCCGATATCAATTTTAGCACCCGAAACGCGTCCCGAGACCCCCGAGAAACCCGGAAATTTTATCTTTTCGGTTTTGAAGCCCTACCTTCGCAGAGCCTGATTTTCAATTAAGCTCCCGATTTTCAACATAGAAAGGCATATTTAAAGCCGAAGTGCTGTCCAAATTACTATTTTAACCCCCGGTTAACTTAAGGTGAGTTCAATATATAGGAACAATTTTATGTTATGTGTTATATGTGATATGTGCTTTTCAGTATTATTATTCTGAGTTATGTTCTCGTGTTGTTCGCTATGTTTATAGAAATTGTAATCCCTTTGACCATGTGATCAGTGAAAGGACTTAGATTCACATTGGTACTGGTACGTAGCCTATGGCCATGTAGAGCATGTCTCCGTAAGAGAATGACTTCTATTCTATGGCATTGGCAAATGGTTAGACAGGACTATAAGCCTGAAATCTAACAAGATGTTAATCAGAAATTGCATGTCTTCTATGCCATTTGGGCCAAAGCTTTATTGATATATATCAAGAATTGAAAAGAATATCTTTGAATAATGTCTTTGATTGATATG